TATATATATACATTTTGAACGTTAAAGGATCTGCGAGTGTGAAAAACAAGCAATCATTTAATGTTGACATGCGGAACTCAAATTTATTAAAATATAATAAAATAGAACGCATATCTTTATCAACTTTTAATGATTGTACATCGTCTATTCATTGTTTTTACATTTTATTTACTTGGAGCACACATGCGCGCTATATCAAAATCATGACGTTAGACACGTTAAAGGATTAAAAGAACTCAGGTTCTATCGAACGCTTGAAGCACCACAGTGCCTTCGTGGTCAGGTGGTTGTTATGTTCGAGTCACGGTGGAGGCTGAGTTTTTTTTTTCTTTCTTTGTCAGATTCCTCTTCTGTTACGTTTCAATTTATGTTATTCATTGCATTTTCAGTTTACTGTGCCAGATTTTGTTATTTTTGTCGATCCACCATTTTTTAAACCGTTCTTGCGAACTTCAACATGTATTAGTTTGAGTAAATGCTATATGTTAGTGTCAAACACTTCATGACGCGTCATTAAACGTATCATTTGTCATTAAAAGTATCATTTAGTAATTTAAAAAAAAAACATTTTTGGTTTGATGAAACATAGGTTGAGACAAAATTTGAGGGAACTGGAAAATTATGTAATGAAATCATATACATCCCAAAGGCAATCCTAATTTTCATTGCGCACATGTTTATAACGTTTCTTATTAAGCCATCACATTCACACAGCGTATTTGTTTCATATTGCAGATTCTAAGCATTAAGACTACAGAAGGCCGATTAGTATACGGTGCTGCATCATGACGTTGGCCTACTAGTCAGATATAAATATAGTAGGCCTACCTCGACGGATAATAAAAAACGGAGAGCTTAATTTAAGATATTGAATGAAACCGGAATACGACTCTCTACCCACCCACAACTTAATAATAGGCCCGACTACCGGTACCGAGTCAACGCTTGCAGATTTGGATATGAAACAAAGAAAAATCGTGAATCAATACCTTACTAAATTACATAATTAGGGCCTATGCCTTCACAAAATTTTGTTGGAGTTATATAGTAGGCCTATATGAATAATCAAGAATCCTATGGATTTATAATAGGCCTTTATCAGGCTTACGCATGAGCCTGAGTATTTCAAGTTATTCTACGAAAAATACACATCTTTATAGATAGGTCGCCCGTAGGCCTGTTAACATGCGTTATATCTATAACTAAATTACATTTATTTATTTAACATTGAATTCCTTAAATGCGAGAGGATTCATTAACCGATAGCGTCTGTCTTATTCCACAATCCCCGCTACCTATTTAATATCAATTCGACGTGACAAGAAACCCATTACGCGCATGCGCTAATAAAAGTCATCTTATTAGGATAAAATTAATTAATATAAAGATACGCTATAACCATCACGTGATCACATATCACATAAAATTATCCTTCAATCACTTAATGATTGTATAAACAGATAAGCCATCGATAAATGAGTCTCTGAATTTACCCCGTTATTCAGCAGACGATTCAGCAAAAAAAACATAGGCTATTCTAATTTAATTTGACTTATCAAAGAAAATAAAGTTCTGATAAAATATAAATAAAACTAGTAAGTATGGACATTACACAAATACGGGTCAATAATACAATAGCCGACTGAGAGTTTAATGAACTTAGGCACGAACCGTTCATAATTGCCGGTGACTAACGCATGGGAGCACATTTCCGTATACCTGTACAAAACCTTAAAAAATACGACACGTGCGTGCGATAAACTACAAGGCTTAAAGATCACTGTGGCACATTTTAATGATGAATCAGAACAAAAAGTGACGCGCTTATTTGCCTACATACTTGTATACACCCTGGTGGAAATGAAACAGCTATATAAACAAAAACATAAACTGATGGAATTAATATATAGGAGGATAAATAATAATAAATGTAGATTATTCACAAAGGTACCATAATAATAATGACGACGACGACGATGTTGATAATAATATTGATTACGACGATGATGATGATGACAAAACTAAACTATGATGATGAGGTTGATGCCATTATTATCACCATTCATTGTGATTCTAACGAGAGTGATCAGGCGGTGGTGGTGGTGATGGTGTTATTGCTAACAATGATGGTATTACTTTTGTTGCTATTCCTGCTGATGATGACCGCCATCATGATTATCATTATCATGATAACGACGATGATGATGATGAAGATGATTATGCAGTGAACGCAGTGACCATCATGGTAATCATAAATATTGATTATTGAAATGATGGGAATAATAGTGATGATGTTGTTGATGATAATGATGGGAATGACGACGATGATGATGAAAATAATTATAATGTAGGCCTATTTAAAATACAACATTCACCAATATACCTAAGTACATAGAAGCTCCGGCAATATGCGCTATATAAATGTAATATTATTATTATCATTATTAATATTATATTATTATTATTGCATTATTGCTTTATTTTTTCTAATGTGACAAATTGAACCTGTCTGAGTCACGTGAGTCATATCTGCATGCTTATATTGCTTATAATATAAATTCCGTGAATTACGGAAAGTCAAAATGACTCTCCGATTTTCGTATATTACATAAATCATCTTAGAAACACGGAAAAAAAAAGACAGGTCACTTAACACTTCCTCAACAATCGTCATTTAATCGACAGATACAGTCAAATCCTATGTCAATACTTCGTTTATGCATCCATTAATATCGTGGGGTAAGATGTAGAACAGTATACTTAGCATTTTCATATTTCTATAAGAATTGCTGTGTGGGCCGAGAATAAATCATTACAATTACCAAACTATTGTAATATTTATTAACAATCATCAAAATAATTGTTAAGCTTAATTAAATTAAACTAAAACCCAAAATATTGGTTAAATAATTAACTGTACATTTGTACAAATATAGTTTATTTTCTTCTCTATGTTGTTATTAAGCGCCTCGAGGTTGTGAAAACGGCGCCATAAAACCAGAATTATTATCGCTGTATCATTTCGAATAAACATTTGCATGTGTCTCGACAAATGGCGTAATAATGTATATTTTTTTTAGTAAATTTCTCTTTGTTTTGAATATGACGTCAACAATAAAAGTACCCCTTCTTGTGGGAAAGGAGGTTAGCGTCAAGGACTGGATAGAATATGTAAATCTTGAATTTTGAAATGAAATACCAATGAAATACCATCCGATAATTAGTAGTGTCCTGTGGTTGACGTTACATCTGTTTCTAAATAAAAGCCGAAATTCTCTTCCTAATATCGAGGTTTCTTTGAACTACATCAGTCCTTAGTGACCCACTTCCGCTCCTTTGGGATTTAAAGAAAACTGTAAAATCTCTCATACGAGCATTCCAAGATTATTAATTATTTCGCCAAAAACAAATTCGATGCTAATTTAGAAGATAAATGTTAAGCAAAGATATTTCCTCGGTGACTCATGTTACGTTGGCTGGAAATGATGGCTTCGATATAGCTTTACAATTGTGAGGTAAAAACCTACTTATATTCGTCACGTGATCAATGATCTCGAAATGCCCTCTAGTCATCTTTTACTATGAATATGGATACGACCATTAACGTGATATTAATCCAGTGTACCGTAAACACAACAGAAAGAAACAGAGGGTGGAATGACAGAAGGTGGAACAAGCACCGCGGAAATTATTTCAGGAGGAATAGAGTATTCTATGAAATGAAAATTAATGTGGTAGTATTTCAAATACGCTTGAAGATCAATTAAACAATAAACTAAGAAATAAAGAAAATTCTATTCGATAATTTCTTTCCTTGAAAAATGTCCATAGAGACTCATACATTCCCTAGGACGGATGTAAGGGGGGGGGGGTTGAGACCGCACCCACCCCTTCCCCAAATTGTATTAAGAAAATGATTGTTGTATTGTATTGTTGATATATTATTTTTATCATTATGAAACATAGTACCGGTAAGATTTTTAAAGTACCGGTACGAGAGTGCAATTTCCGGGCACCTTGATAGAGGGAACCTCAGCCCCAACTATGTAGTGGATAAGGTGGTGTAGATTCTCACGTAACCCTTACAACCAAATCTTGCATTCGCCCCAGTGTTAACGATATGATCAAGAGTTTAAACACTCAGATTCCTCCGGTTTTTTTTTTAATAAAACCTCCAATTCCATACTTTTCGTCGAAATTAGGTCCGAGAAAAGTGTAATTTACAGCGGCTAGAAATGCCATATTATTTTGTTTGCACTTTAGCCAAACAATGAGGAGCTGAGGTGTTGGAATTCTACAACCTCTGCCAATGAGTACCCTGCCCAACTTGAAGAAGTTTCTATGCCCTTACACTTACTTAGGGGGAAAGTCTTACAAAATGATGTATCCAGAGCAAAGATGACCATTTTGGACCTTGCATGCTTTAAACCAATAATATTTAATTATTTTTAGCAAGATATAGCCTATGGCCTCGGCAGGAGGCTTCACAAGACGCAGAACGCAACTGGAATCAATAATTCGCTAAGAGCAACACGTGTACAAGTGTGGGAAATTCTAGTATAGGTGTACGGTACTATAAGTAATTCAAAATGAAATATATATATATGAAGATTTTTCAAAGATTAAGCAAACAACTCTTTTGCATGTTGTATATTGCATTTGAAATAAATGAAGACACACAAACAATATTATTTTAAAAACATCAAATAAAAACATAAACATTCTAAAACCAACAATAAATCGAATCAAAAGCAGTTACAAAAATTTTTTTAAATCAACAATATTTCATTCGGAGAATTCCAAATTCCAATGCTCGT